TTGTAGATTTCATTGTATAAGTGTGATCTTTGGCTACAATCTAAAGTCCGATCCCTATTTATTCTCGGTCAGATCAAGGTCTAAAGCAGTTGACGGTGTTGGACATTACATATTGGTGTTAATTACTTGTTAATTAAATGCTTCCCTCTTAAAAACTTACTAACATGTGCATATAAAATATTAATGCATGGCACATTTTTAAGGTTACGTTTTAAATGCTTTGTGAAAAACTAGCTTTTTATCTTCAGTTTCGCTCGCGTAAAGATTGATGGGCTGTGATGTCGATGTGCTACTCCAGACCATAACCTATCTCTGTGCCAAATTTTATCCAGTCCATTAAGCTGTTCCGGTGTGATTAAGTGCCAAACGCCCAAACATCAATGCTCAATCATTCGCGTTTATAATATTATATAATTCAGTCATCAGTTTATACAAAGTACTTAAAACGCTTGTATATCGTGTAGCAATGTCGTAAAAAACTAATCGAATTTACTTATTACAAGTGATTGTCTATTTAATTGCCATGTACTTAAAATTCATTATTAATTACCTCGAAGATTAACGTGAATAATAGGTGTTGCATACCTTTGAATTGCCTCACGATTTGACCAGGTTTCACAGGGCGTGTTCACAGGCAAAATATCTTTTTTTCGCCATGTTCCTGGCTATAATAAGTATTACACATTTATTTATATCTAGCTTTTGTCAACGACTTCGTCCGCGTGGCGGTCGACATCAGATCACAGAGTACTGTAATACTATAATAGATAAAGAGTCCCCTTGTCAGTGTTAAGTGTCCCCCGTGTTTTATCCATCTATTAATTCATCATTAAAGAATAATGAAATTTCATATAAATTTTAAACCCCCATTTTGCACCTAACTTTAAAAATTATGAACTTTCATACAAACGATTATCCTTTATTTTACCGCCTTAGGGGTGAAGTTTCCAAAAATCCTTTATTAGTGGGTAAGTCACCATCACATCAAAAGCCTATACTAGTCCACTGCTGGACATAGGCCTCTCCTTAGAAAGGAGGTTTGGGTAAGTGGTACAATATAAAAAGAATCAGCTGTTAACATTTCGAGTTTGTAGCCGCAGCGGTTTAGCCTCTGCGTTGATGAATCAGTCAGTCCGGGCAAATAATTTATAATAGGTCTGACCTTGCACCTACCGACTATTACTTTTTCCAAAATTTAGACAACTTTTTAGTGGGTAAAAAATTCAATTCCCGAGAGGCAGGACAAAATGCCTTTGAAGAGTTTGTTGCCTCCCGTCCAGCTGGTTTTTACAAGAAAAGCATCAATAAACTGCCAATGCGTTGGCAAAGATGCGTCGATTGTATGGGTGATTACTTCGAATAACAGAAATAAAAAAGTTTGAAAAATAAGTACTTTCACTTATGGCATACAAAACGGCAATTTCATAAGTAAAGACAATATATATATAGATTTGCATGTGAGTACAGATCATTAATAAAACCATATCTGAAGGATAATGTTTCTGAGTATCGTCAATAGACAGATTTCCTTAAGAAACCCACCAATAAAAGGTTAGGTCACTAACAAAGTCATTTTACAAGTAGGTGCAATTAAGGCTAATATGATTTTTAAAGATTAATCATCGTTGGGGATAAAAGGTTTTTACATTTCTTATGAACTTATGTTGTTGTTATTATAGAGGACGACAGGTCAATAAAACATGAATTACAAATTAACGACATTTAGGTTGAGCAAGGTTGGTGAAACGGTTCCCTGATCCCTCCTATTACAGGCGCAGAGTGGCACACCGTGTGGTTTTAGTCGGTCCGATTCCGACGAACCGGCCCGGCGCAAACCACGGTGGGGTTTGAACGCGTAAAAAAAAGTACAGAGAAGTCTAGCAGAACAAATTTCAAAGAGATCATAACTGATATTTGTTTACAATTGTAGAGAAAGTAAAAATGCATTGTTATTTTAATATTTATATTGGTTTTAAGATGATAAACTAATGAAAGCAAAAGATAAAACAGAAAAATCTAATACTTGAACATTTTATTTTAAAACTATCGAAATAAAATCAGTGTTATTTTTATGTTCTTAAATCACTATGAAATCAGTGAAAAGTAAGTTAAGAGAATATGTTACGAAATAGATAAATCATAGTATGTGGTCATCAGTAGCCTGCGGTATTTCTAGAACGAAGAAGAAGAATTTATTTATAATATGGATGTATTTAAAAATACATACAATATCTTTTGCCCGTGGATCCATCTGCGTGTTATGTCGGTTGTCGCGGTAAAAAAAACATATGTTACTCGCTTATAATGTAGCTTTCCTTTGGTAAATGAATTTTAAAATAGGCTTAGTGGCTGAGGCGTGAAATACGCTTTTTTTTCGCAAACAAACAAACTCATTTTCAAATTTATAATATAACTAGCTGAGACCCGCGGTGTTACCCGCGTTTGTTGTTATAACCGCGGGCAATGCCGCGGGGCGAAGCTAGTCTAAAAAAAGTAGCCTAAGTTACTCCTTATGCCATCAGCTATCTGCCAGTGAAAGTCCCGTCGAAATTGGTCCAGCCGTTCCAGAGATTACCCGGCACAAACAGACAGACAGACAAAACTTGTAAAAAATGATATTTTGGCATATGTACCGTGTAAACATACATATGCATTTAGTAAAAAGCGGTTATTTTAATATTACAAACAGACACTCCAATTTTATTTATTTGTATAGATAAGTATTAAACGTGTTAAAAAGAGACCGTCCTGACCTGACGTTCCAAAGGTTATTGCTTGCTATTGGCTTCCAAGTCAAATTGAATAAATAAATACAACTAACTGAGTCAAACGCATGACCTTGGACACCCCTCAAAACGTTTCTCGCACAAGCACTATTTAAATGGCTGTCGTCCCTTTGAAAATACACAAAAGGCGTCTGGAACCAGTATGCCCGCACATTAGAACCGGTTTTTTTCAATAACACAGATGTGGGATTAAATAATTTTTAGGGGTCCATATAAACAAATCTTTATGACAGTTATGAGATCGAAAGTTGATCAGAACTGACTTGTGACCGAACTTTTATGACGAGAATTCGGCTTCTGATCTCAAACTAGACAGAGCCTGTGCTATGGGAACCAGCCTCCTGATAAACATACAATAAATAAATAAATAATATGTTTCTAAATACATATATATATGTATATATATATATATATATATTATAGCTAAATTACACTCAGACACAGAACAAATGATCACGGTCATCACACAATAGGTATTTGTCGTGGGTGGTAGTCGACCCTACGACCTCCGGCTTAGCAGTCAGGGTTACTAACCACTAGACCAGCAGGCCCGTCAATATCCCTTTTCCACCACTATCTTCCCTTTTTATCTATCTTTCTTATTGATATGCTCGCAATTTTCTTATTCAATCACCAAAGTGCTTGGTTGAAGGCAATAGCCTAGCTCGCTGTTACTTAAGTGGACAAAATTATAGTTAGCAAAGTGTGTGGGATTCATTTAAAATGCGGTCACTCTGTTCCACGGTACAGGAGGGACACTATTCAGTAACTCTATAAGAAAATGCTAATAAAATATAAAATAATGCTTATTTAAAATAAAATGTAAAAAAAATCCTCAATTAAATACGCTACAATTTTTTGTGACAAGACGCTTCGTAGCCTAATGCTACGCGGCTACAATTTCGTAGACACCTAAACTAAACACGTGCATTCATTCAGTTTTACTCTCAATTGCCGTAATCAAATTACGCGGCATTAATGTTGTCGGAGTGCACTAAATAGTGCGGAAGACACAGTTTAACATTGTCTTGTTAAACAATTTCCTCAAATCTAAAGACCGAGGTCGACCTTGACCTTGACGTCAATTTCTTTTTTAAATTACGAGAAATCGTAATTTTACTATCTAACAAAAAATATTATGTATCTTAGAGCTGCGATAGACATTTAACTTTGCGGATACCAATACTTATCCGGTAATCGGATATCCGGCTATACGGATGCATTGAGTCAGACTTCAATCACTTCTTTTTTATTACATGTTAAGTGGTATTGGGTGAGGACAAATTCGTATTATTAATAAAAATTAAAAAATTAAGTTTGAGGAAATACAAGAAATTAATGATGAGGAAAATTATAAAGTTTTTGTAATGCCCTTATACTAAATACAAAAATAAAAACCGGACAAGTGTGACTCTATCTCTGGCAGTGGGTGTTTCGTAACTTATACATAAAATACATTCTAGTAGGTTTTTAACCATTTCTTTTGATTAGACATGTTTTAAAGACAAATTTAATAATTTTTTTTATAAACATTAACAATCTATACTTATATTGTGTCAACAACAAAAGTGTACAAAAGTGTGTCTATCTGTTACCTGTTCACGCTTAAACTGCTTAACTGATTTAGATGAAATTTGGTATAGAGATACTTTGAGACGTGTGAAAGGACATAGGATAGTTTTTATCACAGAAGTCATCCTTTAAAGGGGTGAAAAGAGAGGTGGAAATTTGTATCGGTAATCAATAACCACTGAACTTATTTAGATGAAATTTCCTACGGATATAGTTTGATTCTTGAGGAAAGATATAGGCTACTTTTTACCGCAATGACCTTCATTAACGCTGGCAGAGCCGCGGACAAAAGCTAGTTAAAAAAATATTAATAACATTCTATCGTGGAAAACCTATGCTTAGATATAAATGAGCCGGCATGACCAAAGTGATGCCATCGTCTCCGAAAATCGGTGTTAAGCGATTCTTTTGTTGCACATTGCTTAGTGAGAAGATACCGAAGGCCAACCCTCTTGTTTTTGCGGCAAAAGGAGGCTGGTAACACACGTGACTTGCAATTGTCCGTGAGAGGCGGTACTCAGTCACTATCAGATAACCCCTCCGTCATTAGCCCATCAAAAAGAAATAGTACGTGTACAGTCAGGTCCTCAAAACTCCTCATAGACTATTTTAGTTCGTCGGTTCTCTATTGTATACGTAACTATGAGCATTTCATACTATTATCCAATCAGACTGAACGTCCGGTACATGTGTCGCTGACCTACACACCGATTTGTTCAATCGATAGCTATCACAGCGTCTATGTTTGGTACTATGCCAGTTTTGTTGGCGATGGTTTTAATCGTAATGAACCAACGATTATTAAAAGAAGTATAAATGCAAAGACGGAGGGAGGTTTCATAGTTTCCGAACTGGAAAAAATATAACAGGAAAACTGTACCAAATGTGTACAAATATGTACTAATAAATTGACTAATTAAAGAAATTGTTGAAACTGTCGACAACAGCTAAATCACCTTACCTGTAGGAGAGCCATTCTTCAGCAGATATCAACTACGTATTGGTGTTATTACTTCGAAATCGGCCCATACTGGGGCTAGAGTAATCAAAAGTCAGCAATTGTGACTCTGTTTGTGGGTGGTGTCCGTGGGCGGAGGTAGTTACTTGCCATTAGGTAACCCCTATGCTAATTTGCCCTATTTACAATAAAAAATATTTATAAGCAATACTCATTGTTTAACAGATGCTTTGTAATCTAATATAATCTTATGTTTTCTTCTACAGGTCGCCAAAAAGTAAAGAAGAAGAATGCGAAAGCGAAACTCTGAAGTCCGACCCGGAGAGGGAACCGGAGACCAAAGAATCTGGGGCTTTAGAAGCCAAGATGTCGTTAATGAACGGCATCACTGTCATCGTTGGCTCCATCATCGGCAGCGGTATATTCGTCTCTCCTACCGGGGTGTTAAGATATACTGGTTCGGTTAATGCCAGTCTCATTGTGTGGGTTGCTTCTGGAATTTTTAGTATGGTAAGATTTGTTTACATCATTCCTGCTTTTCCAAAATCGATCTAAGTGACGTGCAATGGGAGTGGCCTATGTCCAGCAGTGGACTGCGATAGGCTGATGATGATGATTCCTGCTTTTCAATTTTTTTTAAATAAAAGTAGTATATGTCCTAATCTGGTCAGTAATAAGTAAATCAGTAACGTATATTAATCCAAATTTCAACTTTATAATTAGTCTTAAGATTTTTTACTTAATCCTTAGTTCCAAGGCTTTAAAGGTATATTTACTTCAGCGTAAATCGTACGCAACTTTTACTCACATTTAAGAGGAAGGAGGAGGAGGAGAGGAGGTCGAGTGTTCATTCATCTCTTTTTATAAATATTCCATTTCTTTTAGAGATTCGAGATATTACTTTATTATGACGGGCCTGTTGGTCTAGTGGTTAGTGACCCTGACTGCTAAGCCAGAGGGTTGGAGGGTTCGATTCCTACCCAGGACAAATATTGTGTGATGAGTACGGTCATTTGTTCTGTGTCTGGGTGTAATTTATTTATCTATAATATGTATGTATTTAAAAAATTATAAGTATGTTTATCAGCAGTCTGGTTACCATAGCACAGGCTCTGCCTAGTTTGGGATCAGACGGCCGTGTGTGAGATGTGTAAGATGTATTATAAGATATATTATATTATTGTGTATCACTTCATTTAAAACTAATTAGATTTTCATCACAACGCAATCAGTGTAATTTCACCAAGTACACTGCGGATTTAATTTTCCTAATTTCGCAATCTCTACTTTCAAATACCTACTCTTGAAAATATAATAATAAATATATTCAAATTCTGGCAACAATTCTCTTTAAAATTAAAGACGATTATGATTAGGGAATATGATTACTTACTTGAACGAAGTAAAGATATTTATTTGATTTCCCGACGGAAAGCTTGATGTCAGCTTAGCGTTGCTGATTTGCTGGTTTTGTTTCTCAACCAAAAATGCTTTCCCATTTATTATAAAGTAAACAAAGCTAAAATTGATTAATGATTGTAATATCTAAGCTAGTTCATTAATATCTTCTAGTAATCTGTTATACTATAATTTCCCATGGGTATTACAACACGGACAAACAAACAATATTGCTTTCTTAAGACGACGTAACTTAGTTTTCTCACGAGGCTCATTCATCAACAATTTCTATTCTGTGAATATAGGGATATGTCTGGAAATAGGTGTGAGTGTAATGTATGTTTGTATTTTAAAAATATACATAGAATACATACGTTATTTACACACTATTTCAGGATTTTGATTTTGAACCACTGGAATTTATAAAGCTCTAATTACATTTCAATGTTCCCAACAAGCGGGCAACGCCCGTAGTCTCATTTTCCACTTTATTCCGATACTAGCGTTTGGCCGCGTCTCGGAGTGTCAGTCATCACGGTAAAAAGAAGCCTATGTTCATTACATCAATAGCCTTAAATAGTCCACTGCTAGACATAGGCCTCTCTTTAGAATAGAGGTTTTGGCCTACTATACCACGACTAGACGGGTTGGTATGGGGTTGGTTTCAAGTTTTGGTAAAAATATGTTAAAATCGGTTTTGTGGTTTAGGCATGAAAACGTAACAAACTAACCTTTATATTTATAATAAAAGTATGGATGTATATTCTAAAAACTTTTTGCGTGAATTTCGCAATAGGTACTTAAACATAAAATGTTATTTAATGAAGGAATTCGACATGAACTGACAACATTCCCCTTAACAATGAAGCCATATTGCGCTCTTAGATAAATTACTTACAACCAAGTAAGCTTCGAGAGATTTGTTTTCTCTCTCAAGTACAAATATTGTTTGCTCATTTTTAAAAGCGGATTACTGTGTTGATGTTATTTTCTCTAAACGTATTCAGATCACGTCTTATTTGAGAGGAATTATAATTTATTTCCTTGGGTAATATTTAATTAAGCTTAGAACGAAGGCTGATAAAACCAAAATAATGAAAACACGAGTTTTAGGTTTATGTTTATACTGTAAATAAAATGAAGTTGGTGACTTTCGATTTGGTAGAATGATGACCTTTTTTTGACGGGTTGGAAAATCTCTTCGGATCTCAGATTCCTTGGAGACTCGGGTACCAGGAGTATGTCATGTTTCCACTTGAAACCACTCCGATTGCAGGCCTCACACGCTCTACTCTGGGGATTACCTGGCCCTTGTGATATCAGATCCTCCCCGAATCGATGCCGGGCATAACTAGGCAATATCCCTGGAGAAGATGTAAGTTTCCCCTCGCCCATCGGCATGAAATGACTACCTAAGAAACCTATCTATAATAGATTGGACACTGAAGCTCTAGAGCTGAGGGCTATATAGCATGTGGGACTACTTTCATCAGTGGACTGCTAAAGGCTGATGGATTCATTGATCGAGGCTGTGTAGCTTTCCTTTTGGTACCCTTTAATATCGATATTATCTCCTGCCCTAATCTAATCACTGATGCAGTTAAAAAACTGATTCCCTAGTTGTATTCGGATTTTGATTGAATAATAATAAATTATTTCTTAAAATGACATAGATCCAGTGTAAAGTATAAACGTGACATAAATCGTTAATGACCACAGAAATCTATTTATCTAAATCTATGCACAATTTTAAGAGACCCTGATCATAAGAGACAGTGTTCAAGCATATTATATCTATTGAATAATAGACTACACTATGTGAATTTTATGTCGACATATAAATGCATATTTTACTACACTGTTTTGTATATCTGCTTGTGTGTGCGTGAGTGTGTGTGCGTGTAGTAGGCGCATCCTTGGTAAGCAGTGTAAAACTGATAAAAACATTCACAGAAGTTTTTATTGTTATAATTAGTGGTACTGTATACAATGTCGTGATGAATGTAACAGTGGTCAGACTTTATCAGTATCACATGGCCGAATAGCGCCAGTATATGTATGTATATTGTGCCAGTCTCTGTGCGATAATAATATTGTCGCGGGACAGTGGTTCATCGGTTATCTTATATTATTATTTAATATATTTAATTATGTATGAAAGAAATGTTATTTATGTCATAATGACGAAAGGGAGATAAGCCAGTAAATTTTTTACGAGGTTCACCGTTTTGAGTTCATAAATGATCGTTTCATCTTGTATATTACGCGATGATAACACGCACAAAATACAGACTGCTGATAAACATACTTAAATATTGCTAAATATATACATATTATAGATAGATTACACCCCCGAGGAGCTGGAGATCCAGGGATTTTCCAACCCGTCAACAAAAAAAGGGAAAAGGGTCTCTAGTATAGGTACTGTTTGAACTGTCATAGTACAAGAGTGAACACAATGACAGTTCAAGGTATACTGGTCATGTAATAAAACTAGAAAATAAAAACAGTTCAAATTCAACCTCCGGCTGATTTCTAGTATGCCTGATGATTATGTGAGAGATGATGATTATTTTTGTAACAGTTTTAACTTCGTACTGAAAAATCAATATAAAATCTGTAGCCATCATCAGCCCGCTTATTGATTCATATCATTGAAGCATATACATATTTATTACGTTTCAATAATATGAATCAATGACCAGACCGTAACAAATGAAAACAGATTAAATTAGTAGTATAGTATTCTTTTAGTATCAGTTCCCGAATTTTAGTATCTTGTATTTTAACATTAATTTCAACTTCATCTGGTCCACTGCTGAACATAGGCTTTAGCCTACTATACCACGCTGGCCAGACAGGTTGGTATTCGGTTTGCGTCCATTTTATAATTGAATAATTGTCTGTGAGAGAGCCATGCTTTGTCACAAATGGACGGGTTCGACCGGTGTGATACCACGACCTCACAGAAAACCGCTAAATAGGAATTTGAATTGGTTGACATTTAGTCCTTGTTGCACTGGCCGCGACCATAGTTTAAGTACGCCTGTGACTACTGCCAGTCAGGCTATTTAGAGATTTAAGCTAAGCTAGTTATTATATGTCATGAAAAACTAAAGTTGAAAAATTATGAACCAGCTGAAAGACATGTTTTTAGCCTAGTTCAGCAACCGCATACGAACACAAATTATCTTCAGGTCCAGAGACATATAGCAACTACAAACTATGTGTAAATGCATATTTCTTTTACGGTGATATAAACATTCATTCGTTCAACGTCCTTTCTTGTACCACAGGTAGGCGCCTATTGCTACGCGGAATTGGGTACTATGATCAGAGTGAGTGGAGCTGACTACGCGTATATTATGGAGACCTTTGGCCCGTTCGCTGCATTCGTCAGGCTCTGGATAGAATGCATGATCGTCCGACCTTGCTCACAGGTAAGGTTTTCTTTTGTCATTCAGAGAATGGATAATACCTTTCTAACAGTGAAAGAATTTTCAAAATCGGATCAATAGTAGCGGGGATTACCCTAAACATAAAAACTCACAAACTTTACCTCTTTATAATATTAGAATCGAATAGAATACCAGTTTATTGATTTCAGCATTACAGCACTTTTGTAGAAATATCACACATCAACAGCCCATACTAGTCCACTGCTGGACATAGGCCTCTCCTTAGAAAGGAGGTTTTGGCCTACTAAACCACGCTGGCCAGACGGGTTGGTATAGGGTTTGTTTCAAGTTTTCCTTCTTTTTGCAGTGCTGTTGTCCTGCTTAGTTTGCTCCCTTAGTCGGCTCTTACGACACCCACGGTATGAATTGGGGTGGTGACAATTTGTATTCTTAATCCGTCACCACACGGACTTGTAGCAATATACAGAAAAACTATAATACCAAAAGTAAAAGGTCTAAGCGTCAGCTTATGCTTGAACTTCACATGGATTACCAAGCGCTGGTTTTCAGCTTCAACCCTTGACTCCCGTTTACAAAAAAATATACATATAACTTATTGATAAAACATTAAAAGAATTTCTTCGTGATCATACATTACTAGAGGGGTTAAAAAAAAATGTTCATTGTTTAAAACACAATGAGTATGGTCAGTGGGGGTAGGGCATTCAGTACATGGCTACGAAGATGTAAAAAACCATAAGACAGTTAAACTTAGATGTTATAAGGGATGTAAATTAATATACTCGTACATATATTAGTATAGATAAAACCTTCCTTGCCAAAAGTTTAACTATAGAGTATCTAACAAATATTTAGGGGACCTTTAACGGTCTTCAAAAAGGAGGTTCTTTATTATGTTTGTTAATCATAACTGTAATTTATGAACCAATTTGTATTTTTTTTATTTGACAAGTATACGTCCCGTTTGCTCGCATTAAATTTAAGGAAAAAATACCACCCCTGAGAAAATTTAGAAATTTAGATGCTCTAAAGTCGGTAATACTTTTTTAAAAGTTAGTTCTCGGTCTCACAGGAGTATTAATAGTTCAAATCCTCCATTACTACGAAGAACTGAAAATGGCAAGAGACTTATCGGATCAGTGACCCTCCGTTGAACCCATTCCAATTCAGCATTTCAAGCGCAAAAAGAATTTTGTTCTGACGTCACTGTTCGTCCCATGGCTTTACTGAGCTGTGTATTGCGTCATTTCTAATCAATACAGACGTTGGTTGATAAAGCAGACTGCGACGTGTGTTATGTGATGATGTATTATAGCTGCGTGAACATCGAATACAAGACAAAGCTTTTAGAGACCTCTGCGGAGAGGCTGTAGAGTAGTTACCGTAACGCAAAGGTGCGCAGGTTCGATTCGAGGTTATAGGTGCAAATATTTTTATGTTAAAATATGTATCTTTGTTGGTATAGGACTTATGTATGTACATTTAAAACAAAACACTAAGCATCGCTTGTGCCACAATACTACAAACAAGACTTATTAATAAATTAAAAAAAAACTATTTTTATTAAGTTATTTAAAAAAGAGTTTTTTTTTTATTAACACCATAGCGTAAAAACTTCTTGTACTTAAATTCTCAAAAGAATTTTAACATAACATTTCTTAAAATCATTGTCCAACGTACAAGTGTTTATCAATCCCTCCGTGCTATAAATAGCACCCTAGCTATTGACTCTGTCAACCGACGCAAATCGTTATTATAACAAAGAAAGCTGGTCTGCTACGTAAATTACATTTATATTGTGTATACGCTTTATTTTACATACAAAACCAAGAAAAAATATTGCAAATCTGTATTATGAAGGAACAAAGGCGACAGTCAATAAAGGCTTTTCTTAGTACCCATACAGGCAAGAGTATTTTATTGCCGCCCAACGTGGGACTTATTACTTCATTACGTTGTAACCTAAAGGATGATTTGCAAATAAACACAAATTGACTCGCTTTTATTTGGAATTGTTGTTGTGGAAATAACCACAGCTAATGGGGTATAGGCTCAACCGACACTGCTGTTTCAATATTGACAAATAGGCAAATTCACACGGATTCAGCCTTGGATCTACGGGAGGGGGGGGGGAGGCAAACAGGAGCACCCACCCCCGGGAGGCGTTTTAGGGGGCACCAAAATCATAATATAGTATGATTGAAAATTAAAAATTTGCTTCACAAAGCGCCTAGCATACAGAGGCCTGGTTGGCTCACCATCGACTTGTAAGAAAAAGGAGCCACACAGACCCACACTACAAGCGCACTTATATATTAAACGCTGGCTTACCGGTTCGAAAAAATCGTAGATCTGGGGCTGGACGGATTACACGGTTACACGATTCCTCGGCAACAATATTTTATTTTTCTGAATTATAGATACCCCATGTTGTTTCTGTACCAGTTGTACCTGTCAGTTATGTAATAAGGCTTGAAAACGTAACAACGAAATTTACATTCACGTTTACAATATTAGTTAGGATTTCTATATCAAAACATATAAACAAATAGAGAATAATTTAATTACGATAACTAGATGTACTGTAGGTTCCTGCAAATAGTAATGTATGAACATTGTGATGTTATTGGCGCCCACCGTGGGGCTTATGTTAATGTTATTGTATTTGAATTCCATTTTATTGTGACCGTGGATTTGACGTCAGTTTTATTAAATTGTAGACATATTGAAGTTGTCAGGGGCTTACTGTTTGGCGATATTGGTCTTTATTAACACATAAAGGCCGGATATTGTCGCTGTATTTCTTTTACAAGAAATTTTAAGATCCGTTGTGTTAAAAATGACATTTCTTTGGTATTGAAATTATTATATGATCGAATAAGTTATTGACTGTGACAAAATATAATGCAAAAGTTAACAATAATTAGATATACATATATTGTTTTTAGGTTTTGAGCTAATTGCTTGTTCTACAAAAACGAAAACTTCTACAAACGGTAAATGTTAGTAGAAGTTTTCATATGCTAAAGACCAATTAAATTAAAAAATGATACATTTCTCGAGCAATTTTTAATTATTTCAGTGCCATAAGAAATAATTTTCACGGAATAAAAAGTATATTGTTTTAAAATTTAATTTTACTTTACGAACAGAAGACTGGGGATACTGGGTATACTGGGGATAATGCAATAGCGACATTTATGTTCAAATTCTGAAAAATAGCCCCACGTTATATTACTTAAGTGCCAGTTTCAATACAGCTGTAGTCGTGAATGTATTGTGATGCAAAAAAAAATTAACTTTAAAAAAAACATTAATTTTTTGAGGATTACACTATATACTTATGAGAGTATTTCATTACAGGCGATTGTGGCGCTAACCTTTAGCGTTTACGTGTTGAAGCCAATCTTTCCAGAGTGTGACCCTCCCGAAGACGCCACCAGACTCCTAGCGGCATGTTGTATATGTAAGTATGACCGAAAAAATATTTTAAATGCACATTTAAACTAAATTAAAACTAATTTACGTTTCTCAATATTAAATTTTAATGGAATTAAACTTTAAAAAATAAAGTAAATCTCATTTATAAATATCATAAACACGAAATTTGTTAGTCAGTCAATCAGTCATGCCTGAACGGCCGTACACATCTAGATGAAATTTGGTGCAAATTATAGTCTGGGATAGCATATTGGCTCCAGGCAACCACGGTGAAACAACTATAGGTACAAGATAAGTTCCTCCCTTTGCGAAATTTACTTAAAAGTGGTGCAAAAAAATCTCTTTATTAATGTTCAAATTATATTGCCTCAAGAATCAGTTTGCGATCTAACATTGTAATAAGCAAATGAAGAACAACAGTCACCATGATATCACCGCTTTTCTTATCAAGTTTCTAATAATTGCGTACAAACTTGTCAATAAATGTAACTAAATAAACTTTGTAACTCATAAATGTTGCCTTGCTATCTGAAGTTAAAATATTCGTGTATTATATTCACTAATCTCTAAGGAGTATTCGTGGAGTAAGGTAGATGCATAGGTTGAAAATAAATCATTTCGCCTGAAACAATAAATGTAACATCTTAAAGTACAACCTGAATTGTCCTCCATTATCAATTTATGTTTTACATTTTTTATATCTTCAAATTAACATTAAATACAAATTATTTGACAATATACAAAAAAGGAACCGTAGTCAACGTTTAATAAACAGATTCTACCCCATTTTCTACCCCACTAGTTAGCAGTAACATAATTACGAACTCATAAGCTCTAAGCACTGCTTTTTCTGTAAGCTCTTGGACATGCATATATGGATATGTAGATATATTTTTTATTCTAAACTAATAACGAGACCAGCCAAACTAAACAACTAATTCTACATCGCGCAATTGAAGTTTCCCTTAATACGAACCGTGGATCATCCTATTTATGAGAATAAATAAATAATAAAGGACCGATTAATAGTTCGTGGTGGGCCATGTCGTGTGTTGTAGGATTATTATTGATTTTTATTTCAATTATTTAAAATTTTAACCATAAAATACAATGACATTGTATTTTGACCTTCTATGTATATGTTAGTTTTAGATTTTTTTCTACCAACATGTAGTTATTTTTTTTAAATGGTACAAGAAGTAATTTCATACCTATATTTACTGAAAGTAGCAATATCCTAAAGACGGTCTATATTATTAATTCAAATAAATCGAAAACACCATCCTTAGTCGATGTTTTCCGCAAGTTTCATTTTAGATGCCGCTCACGTCTCGCTCTTCCCGAAAATTACGGAAAAGAGGCTTTTGACAGCGAGGGTGGGAGAAATTATGCTCTGCAAGTTATTTTAATAAGACCTTTTCTTCCAAGTCGTGAAATAATCTGTGCCAAGATGAAGTACAAATTGACGTGCTTTTATTAACTTGCATCTTTCATAGTAAGAGCAAATCTTCGAGAGAATGAGTTAAACAAGTCATTATTAAACAATAATAACTAAAGGAAGGAAGGAATTTGCATTTAAATTAACCGATAGAGCCGACCCATGTGTGCCAGCAATGCTTCAGCACACGGGGGCCGGCTAGACCACGGTCTCACACAAATCCGTGTTAAGCAATTCTTTCGTAGAGTTCAGATAGCTAAGTGCGGGTTTATTTCACTTCTACTCGATCGTTACGGTGACCGCTATCAGCATTACGATTGGCCCGCACTGAAATCTCTACCAATCGCAACGCTAAACGCGCTCGCTGTTGGGATTATTGATTTTTATTTCAATTATCCAAAATGTTAACCATAAAATACAATGTCATTGTATTTTGACCTTCTATGTATATGTTAGTTTTAGATTTTTGGAACGAAGTTCCTTATCGCGCGTTGTGAAAGGGGGCTAGACGGAAAAAATTCGTACGAAAATTTGGAACGACACTTTTAATATAAATTGACGTCTAACTGTGGATACCATACATTAAATTTGCTTTAACGTTCGCCAACGTCCATACCATGTTGAATACACCGGTTCTCGTCCGATCACCGAAGTTAAGCAACATCGGGCGTGGTTAGTACTTGGATGGGTGACCGCCTGGGAATACCACGCGATGTTGGCTTTTTGCTCTTTATTTTCGTGTCATCTTGTCAGACATTCAGCGCCATCTATCGAATAGATAGGAAATCATTTCGCAAGGAGATTTTACCAATGTATAAATTGTTTTAATTGTTTTTAATATGTAGGTAATAGCCGCTTTCATAGATGGCGTTGTAATTAAAATCGTGTCAAATCAGTTTTACTCGATCGTCACAACTTCGTTCCTATCGGGTGTCCCACGACACCACACGGCTTTTTATTTTTACCAACAACAAAAAAAAATACTATTTTTTTTAATGGTACAAGAAATAATTTCATACCTATATTTACTGATGTGAAATATTTATTTTTTATTTATTTATGACTTCATGCACAAATGTGTACATCGGCGGACTTAATGCCTAAGGCATTCTCTGCCAGTCGACCGATTGAGAGAAAGAGTGAAGATGAAATAAACTTGCACTCGGCCCTCAGTTGTCCATGGGCAGTGGTAGTTACTTAAAATCAGGTATTTTGAATTGATCAAACCTGTCTACTCGGTTGCCCCTTATACCATAAGATTGACCCTAATGTTTTTTTTTTTAAATGAAGTTCCTTATCGCGCGTTACGTGGGAGCGAGACCAAAAATGTGTAACAAGACTTTTTGCCGACACTATAGCCAACGTCACCAAAAAGCGAAAGTAACTTCGTTCCGACTGATTTCATAGATCACGTCGTTTTTTATTATTATTGATTTATTAAAAAAATGGAATTATAATACAGAGGTCCAAAATTTTAAGTTTAAAGGCTATTAGCTAATCTAGTGGTAGCTGTGACTTAGGTTTATATTACCTCTGTGTAAATCAATTAATACCGTACTATCATACTCAGGTATTATCTAATAATAATTGCTAATTGTTTAAACTAGAATCAACAACTAGAATAAACTAGTAGGTTGACTAGCGGTAGATGGCCCACATGCATACATACTTGTATCGATGATTTGCGTGTTAGCTGTGTTACGTCGGTACCACGACGTAACTTACCAAAGACAAAGGTTCGATATTTTATTTATTATAATCTTCTATCTATATCTTTAAAAGAAGAAACTGAGCGACTGATTCACTGACAGATCGATTAACGCACAGCTGAAACCACTGGGTCTAGGAGCATGAAATTTAACACAAATGTTCCGTAGGTGACGTAGGTGTGCACTAAGAAAGGATTTTTGAAAATTCCATCTCTAAGGGTGCAAAATGGGGGTTCGAAATTCATATGAAACTTTGTTATTTCTGGTAGTAGCGTTTTCAAGCTCACAGTAAATACTCTTTATTAAAAGTAGTGTAAAACGTTGTTACTAATTTTTTAAAACTACCCTTAAAAAGGGGTTCAAGTTTGTATGGGAAACTATTTTTTTAACTAATCGATTCTAAACTCTCAGCATAAATTATATTCTCTATCAAAAATAATTATAATTAGACAACTATTTTTTTCATTTTCAAAAAGTAAGTATGTTTGTTAGTCAATCTCGCCAAAACGGCTGTCTAGAATAGCACGAGGCCAATATTTATCTCGGCAAAATTTATTGTCAAAATTGGCGTCTAGTTATATTGTACACACTCTGTGAAATTTTGAACTCAATACACCTATTATAAAGTTCGATTAAGGAGGGTGGCCTTAAGTCAAAATACTTGTTTAAAATACCCTTTAGGTACAAGAAGAAATGATATCGGTGGTCTTATATTAAAAACCGGTAATTTCACTGCTACATTATGCTAAATTTAAGAAATACTTTAGAATTATGGATTTAAAAATTGTAGTTTTTCTAGAACAAGGTATGTTTTGTATAAGTTTTAATTATTGTAGAAATGTGTATCGTTTGTTGGCGATCCACATAAATAAAAATAAGAATTTTTAATGTTAGAGAAAGAAGCAACAATACAAAATATAATAGGAGTAACCTTGGCACTTGTTATCTACTAAATACATATCTGTCGATATTGCGAACAGACATAATGTGTTTAGTAAATGAGTTGAACTTATCACTGCTCGAGTAACCAGAAATGTTTTCTATCTTAACTCTACTCATTGGAGTTACTAGAAATTTGATACGAGTCACTAGAACGATAAACAATGATTGTTCTATTGCAAATAGTTCATAACAAACTTGTAATACGTTTTTTTAGAATTTCTTTAGAAAAACAAATTCATTGTTCGTGTTAAAAATATATCATTTTAGTATAATAACAATATGTATGGCGTAAAATCCTAATATTTTAATATTTTCGGACATCAGACACACAACGCCATCTAGTTTCAAACTAAGCAGAGCTTGTACTGTGAAAGCTAGATTTGAGTTTATAGAATACTTGTATAGTACTAAAAGATGTATCGTTAAAAGTTGTAAAGTGTCTTGAAATTTCTAAGGTCAAATTTTCGGATGATCTCAAGTATCGAGTATGTGTGTCACGAATAAATGCGAATCGCTTCTTTAAGTAGACAGGGGTTGTAGGATTAAATAGAGTACTATACAGTAATGAGAGGATGTGAGTATTCCGGCTAAGCCGGGAGCCACTTGAGTTTTGCACGAAATTCGGAAAGATAATCATATTATATTCTATATATCATATTATATCCTAAAAATATTTAGGAATCTAAATTTTCGAAGTTATCTATACAAATAAATAAAATTGGAGTGTCTGTTTGTAATATTAAAATAACCGCTTTTTACTAAATGCATATGTATGTTAATAATATACTAAAATATCATTTTTTACCATTTTTGTCTGTCTGTCTGTCTGTTTATTCTGGGTAATCTCTGGAACGGCTGGACCGATTTCGACGGGACTTTCACTGGCAGATAGCTGATGACATAAGGAGTAACTTAGGCTACTTTTTTTATGACAACAAACGCGGGTAACACCGCGGGTCTCAGCTAGTAGATTATAAAATTGTATTTCCTTACGTATTTTATTCAATTAACAACTAGAATAATCTAGTAGGTTGACTCGCGGTAGATGGCCCACATGCATACATACTTGTATCGATGATTTGCGTGTTAGCTGTGTTACGTAGGTACCACGTCGTAACTTACCAAAGACAAAGGTTCGATATTTTATTTATTATAATCTTCTATCTATATCTTTAAAAGAAGAAACTGAGCGACTGATTCACTGACAGATCGATTAACGCACAGCTGAAACCACTGGGTCTAGGAGCATGAAATTTAACACAAATGTTCCGTAGGTGACGTAGGTGTGCACTAAGAAAGGATTTTTGAAAATTCCATCCCTAAGGGTGCAAAATGGGGGTTGGAAATTCATTTGAAACTTTGTTATTTCTGGTAGTAGCGTTTTCAAGCTCACAGTAAATACTCTTTATTAAAAGTAGTGTAAAACGTTGTTACTAATTTTTTAAAACTACCCTTAAAAAGGGGTTCAAGTTTGTATGGGAAACTATTTTTTTAACTAATCGATTCTAAACTCTCAGCATAAATTATATTCTATATCAAAAATAATTATAATTAGACAACTATTTTTTTCATTTTCAAAAAGTAAGTATGTTTGTTAGTCAATCTCGCCAAAACGGCTGTCTAGAATAGCACGAGGCCACTATTTATCTCGGCAAAATTTATTGTCAAAATTGGCGTCTAGTTATATTGTACACACTCTGTGAAATTTTGAACTCAATACACCTATTATAAAGTTCGATTAAGGAGGGTGGCCTTAAGTCAAAATACTTGTTTAAAGAATTATGGATTTAAAAATTGTAGTTTTTCTAGAACAAGGTATGTTTTTGTATAAGTTTTAATTATTGTAGAAATGTGTATCGTTTGTTGGCGATCCACATAAATAAAAATAAAAAATAAGAATTTTTAATGTTAGAGAAAGAAGCAACAATACAAAATATAATAGGAGTAACATTGGCACTTGTTATCTACTAAATACATATCTGTCGATATTGCGAACAGACATAATGTGTTTAGTAAATGAGTTGACCTTATCACTGCTCGAGTAACCAGAAATGTTTTCTATCTTAACTCTACTCATTGGAGTTACTAGAAATTTGATACGAGTCACTGATACGAGATTGTTCTATTGCAAATAGTTCATAAAAAACTTGTAATACGTTTTTTTAGAATTTCCTTAAAAAAAACAAATGCATTGTACGTGTTAAATATATATCACTGTAGTATAATAATAATATGTATGGCGTAAAATTTAATTTAATATTTTCGGACATCAGACACACAACGCCATCTAGTTTCAAACTAAGCAGAGCTTGTACTGTGAAAGCTAGATTTGAGTTTATAGAATACTTGTATAGTACTAAAAGATGTATCGGTAAAAGTTGTGAAGTATCTTTAAATTTCTAAGGTCAAATTTTCGGATGATCTCAAATATCGAGTATGTGTGTCACGAATAAATGCGAATCGCTTCTTTAAGTAGACAGGGGTTGTAGGATTAAATAGAGTACTATACAGTAATGACTAACAGAAATTCGGAAAGATGATCATATTATATCATAAAAATATTTAGGAATTTAAATTTTCCAAGTTATAGATTATAAAATTGTATTTCCTTACGTATTTTATTCAAATAAAACGCCGCCAGTATAATCTTTTCTTGTTCGCAGTACTGTTGGCATTCGTGAATTGCTGGTCAGTCCGTGCTGCTACCATCGTACAGGACTGGTTCACTTACGCTAAACTCCTCGCGCTCTTCATCATCATCGCTGCTGGCTTTTATCAACTCTGCAGAGGTAACTAATAATCACACACACGTACCATAACACACATATCCATCTCTCAAACACCGCTTTGCAACAGCCATAGGTTCGACTGGAAGAAAATGCCTGTGGCATTGTGCAGGAAGTTTTATTAATAAATAAATAAATATTAAGAGAAATATACAACACTCATATAGTTACGCCTTCTCTCCGGGAGGGGTAAGGAGAGGCGTGTTAAACGCCCACATGGTCGTCTATAATTTAATCCCACAGACCTAATAGCGGGTAAGCATATTAGGAGTTCAATATGAATGGAAAAGTATTTTTAGGATGGAAATATTATACGGATGGATTAGGGAGTTTAAGCAATAACTCCATCAAGGTGAGGGGGTTATACCTGTACTCGAACTGGATATAGTCGGTAAGTCCGAGCCTCTAAGCTCAAAGATACTGTTTGGTAACGTTTTGGTTGTGCGTTATGACTTGTGATCAAGCCAGTGTTGTTGTCAAGTGGTTGCGAGTTTGAAACTCATCCAAAACACACACGAGCGCACAACGAGATGTTAAGTGCTAACATTAACTTAAAAATATATTTACAAGGATTGAAATAATAATGAGAAATAAACATTTACGAGTAAATTTTTATATATATATTTTTTATCAAATATAATAATAATAATAATATTTCCACACGAACAAAAATGTTTTTACAAAATACTTGAGTTGTGAGGGGTGTCAATCGTGTGTTGCCCGACCTCCCATAAAACAGTTATCATAATGAGGTTCGTGACATTGTTTGTTATTGTTACTGCATGGTCTCGAACTGGACATAGCCTATAATGTGGTAAGAAAAAAATAACAGATAACACCCAAAACAGAATTGTCGTACTCATCAGGCAATTATTTGACCTAAGTGAGGATCGAACCTACAACCAACTAACAGGACCGTGAAAAGACCTAATCTCTAATATTTTTAAACTTATACTTTTTTGTTAGTGTTACAATAAGTCAAATAAAACCATAAAATACAAATATCAAACCATTCTTGCAAAATAAATATAAGATATTTAAATCATTGCATAAACTTAGCTCACACAACCTTGACCTATTAGTAGAGCAAACTGACAACTATTTACAAAAATCAAATTAAGCAATATGAAGTAACATTTTTTGTTTTGCATTATTAGAACTTAAACACATACTATGTATATTTTATATTAATTTTGACGGAGATTTCGCGACCGCGTTTACTGTTATCTTACACCGCTTAGGGCCCGTCCGCACAGCGATATTTCACCGCGCGTTTTTTTTCCCAAAATTCTTTTCGTTTATTTTGAATCAAATCACAGTTTTATTTTGCACAGAATTTTGCAAAAAGAAAACGCGTAGTAAAATATTGCTGTGTGGAAGGGGCCTTAGAAACATTTACATACAGACATACTCCCTTGGAGGGTGTAGAGCAAAAACGTATAAAATCACGGATTAAGAATATGAAATGTCACCGAAATGAAATGATATTTATTTCTATACGTTAATCTTTCAGATATTTTTACAAGTCGGACTTTACAGCTAGATGGAGCTGGCATTTCCTAAGACTCACTCTGGGAAGAAACGCCGAAACAAACCACAGAGGTGTCTTTTTTTTTTGTCCGTAAACAAAGTTAAAGAAACTGTGCGAGTACAGTATAGGGTCTGGGTAGGCCTTTTAAAGAAAGGAACATAGTTTTGAATCGGCCTGTCCATACAGACGGCATACGAGCCATCGTGTAGCCTAACCGATATTCAAGATCAACGACCCGAAGCGCGACACTACAGTCAGCAGAACATTTGAGTAGGCCGAGGAAACACTCAAAACCACCAAAAAGTTACTAAATATGAACTAACATTACAAGCCTACACTATACTCACATTTACATACTTACAAAAAAAACATACCATACAATTCAAGCTCACTGAAAAAAATAAACAAATTGAAACCAAACGAAATACAACAATACAACAAATGTCCATAACTTTCAATCATAACAACAATCATAGGAAATGATAGTAAATGCGGGAATGAGCAGCATCAATCCCAAGCAAATTTGTCATCTAAATCATCTATAACTGGGTAGTAAGCCTTTTCACATAGTTTTTGTTTTACTAAAGACATGAAATTTCTGGAAATAATCTAATAATAATCTATAATCTAAATAATCTGGAATTTTATTGTAGAATCGCGCACCTTGACATCGAAAAGTCTTGCTTACTTTTTGTAGTCTAGTGGTTGGTAACACAAGTTTATCTTTATTTCTGGTGGTTTTTTGGTGAATGTCGTTAAACTTTGTGAATAAATGAATATTTTTCGTTACATATACTTACTAAATTTTCATATATGTACTGAGATGCGACTGTTATGATACCAATTTCTTTAAACTTATCTCTCTGTGACTGCCTATAACTCAGATTATAGATTGCGCGAACCACCCCTATTCATCCCGTGGGTTTAGTCAGAGCTGATTAAAGGAACAAACTATGCAGGACAACAGAACTGCAAAGACACAAACCCCATACGATCCCGTCTGGCCAGCGTGGTATAGTAGGCCAAAACCTCCTTTCTAAGGAGAGGCTGTTCATGTGATGTGATGTGTGACACAATAAAAATTCCAAGAAAAAACGCGGATTTGTGTTCTTATAGGTACCCGGTCACCCACTTCCTTTTTTATCACTCTTCTTTTGATGTACAAACATACCAGATTCTGTTTTTTTTATATATATGTTTATAAAGAAATGTCATATTAATCCAAGTATAGATGTTGAAACAAATGTTTTGGTAGTGTTGAATGAACACTTGCGTAACGGACTACATATAAAAATAGTAAAAGTTTAAACAAAACATGGAAACTTGATTATGAAATTTTATTTACGTAAATAGTTTATCCAAAAGATCTGATAATAATAATGTTGTGGGTGGTTTATTATTGAACTATTCATAGATGTTTTTGTAATTTGACTGCACGGATGGATAGTGGTTTAAGCGGTCGCCACGCCGCTTCCGACTACGCTTAGTGTTGTGGGTCTGATCCCCACATGGGACGACACTTTGTGTGATCCACAAATTGTTGTTCTGAGTCTTCTTTGTGTCCGTTTCATGCATGTTTGTAAAGTCCCCCGAGACACAGGATAGATTCCTAATGTGGGAGTTGTCTTTTAAAAATAAAAATTGTTCTTTTGCTGTAAACTAAACAAGCTAATTAGTAAAAGAACACCCGACTGTGTAAAAATGTACAGGTATTTACAATTTACAAACCAGCGGTTTCAATTTTTACATCCCCATTTTACACTCACAAAGGAGGCGAATCTAACGAAACCTTTCAAGCCAAAATTCATGAACCGGATTACACTACAAAGCGTGCCAAAAGACTGGCGCAGTCGGCTAATAACTGGTACGCATAGTAATTGCCTTAGAGCTTGTTCCCACTAGTCGGCTATCGGCCCCGGATCTTAATAGGGTGTCGGTGCCTCTGTTCACACTAGTCGTGTCGTTGTTGGTCACGGTCGAAGTTGGTGCCAATTAATACAACGTCGAAAAAGTTTTGTTGTGATGTATTTGAGAAAAAAACGTTTTTTTTTCTTTCCTACGAATTCGTTTTCGTAGGGAGGAAAATATTGAATGTGCCCAAGCCTGAGGTGAGACCGTGTGGCGACGGAATAAGAATACGGAATGTCACCACCCCTATTCATCCCGTGGGTGTCGTAAGAGCCGACTAAGGGAGCAAACTACGCAGGACCACAGCACGGCAAAGAGAAGGAAAACTTGAAACAAACCCTATACCAACCCGTCTGGCCGGCGTGGTATACTAGGCCCAAACTTCCTTTCTAAGAGAAGGCCTATGTCCAGCAGTGTCCTGTTATAGGCTGTTGATGTAAAGCCTGAAGATTTAGTTCGGTAACATTTCAGGACTTGATAACAGAATTGAAAAGTAATGAAATTAGGTTTATCAATTATTTTAGGATAATTCTACGGCTTCGAATATCAGTGAGCATAAATTACCAAAATACAAGATTTAGGGACTGCATTTGTCATCGACATCCGACAAATGTGAACAGCGTCTCACTTACTTAGAGGCGACCGAGATCCGACTGGATTTTTTTCCAGGCGTAGAGGGCTGGAAAAACACCTGAGATTACTTGTCGGCGCCTACACAAAATCGGTGTCGGACAAGTGTGAATAGTTTTATATAAAATGTCCTACCACTGGTCGATTTTCTGTCCGACACTCGACAAGTGGGTATAAGCTCTTAGATTATTAGATAATTAAGTGCAAAGTGGAGATAAATACTAATTTATTGACGTACATATTATATACTTATAATATAATGTTGTTTTCTATCAGGCAATTCGTTATGAAACAGATAAGCTTTTTTTATACCCATATTTACATACGCAACTTGTTATTTTATGTTGAAAAGGCAAAAATACAGTTTTAAAACTTCTACGATTCAAAATTTTAACAATTGGGTTATCTAATTATTATTTTCTAAATTATTATATACCGTTAAAGATTAATAATAAAACGTAATCTGTTTATAAACCAAAGTTTTGTTAAATTTTGCGAGGCATGTTAGTCTAGCAGTAGAGGCAGAGAGGCAAAAGAAAACTTGTAATAAACCCTATATCAACCCAACACGGTATAGTAGACCAAACCCTCTTTTCCAAGAAAAGGCCTATGTTCAGCGGTACACTATTAAAGACTTTTGATGAGTACGATCATTTGTTATGTCTGGGTGTAATTTGTCTGAAATATATGTTTGTCAGCAGTCTGGTTACCACAGTACTTACTTAACATCCCTCCTGCAATATCTCTGCTCTAACCATGACAGAAACCTTCGTTCCGCTGATAATTTCCTCCTTCTTTGTCCTTCACATGACTCCCGTATCTTACATTCTTCCTTCACTGTCCATGTAAAATCGGTATGCGGTAAATCTTTGGAACGCCCTTCTCCTAGAGATCAGTCCACCAACCGAACAACCTTTAAGATCAGTGTACGCAA